TAGGCAAAGTATTCATTCTGAGTTGACTGTAAAGTGATAGAGTTTGTTTGTTCGTTTTGAATTTCGCGCAAAGCTACACGAGAGCTATCTGCGCTAGCCGTCCCTAATTTAGCAGTGTAAGACTAGAGGGAAGGCAGCTAGTCATCACCACCCACCGCTAACTATGGGCTACTCTTTTACCAACGAATAGTGGGAGTGACCGTCACATTATAACGCCCCCACGGCTGAAAGGGTGAGCATGTTTAGTGTGACGGGTATTCGAACCACCAGGCCATGCCGGGCCGCAAAGTGTTAGAGAAACACTTGTAGAAATATATTGGAGACTATACAATCTACTTATGTAGCTCAAGTGTAGAGGACAACGTTTCGAAAGTCTTCTGCCTTTCGTCTTCAGGTTTGCGACCTGTTACTTTAAAAACACGCTCCAAACTTTGGAGACTTGTGTGCACTATAAGACAAATCCCAATATACCTATACAAGTATTTTTGTAATAGTGACTCGCCGCTCATTTCACAGTCAACTCAATGTGAATACTCTCCCTAAACTATCTATCAAAGAATATACATTGTTTATAATGTTCATGAGTGAACCAGACTTTCGAAACGTCGTCCTCTACACTTGCGTTGCATAAGTAGATTGTATAGTTACCAAGATAGTTTTACTAATGTTTCTTTAATAGACAGTTGCTGCCCATTTCACAGTCAACTCACAGTATATATATACTATTTTTAATTGTATTTCGTACCCTAGCTGTGATAACAGGACGTAATAATTAGGATAACCTCAGCATTTCTTATGTCAGTTAAGATTCACGAATTCAAACAAACTCAAAACAATAGGGTCGTTTCTAAATTCGACCTTTGGCCTTCACACACCCTAAGAATCGACTGGGTATGAGAAAACAACACGACCTTTCACGTCCTAAGGGGCACTTAATATCGAAAACCTATGTTATGTTCATATTGGGTATAGAGTTAAAATAATTTGCTACTTACATTCATTTTATATGGTGATACAAATAGTAGAAAGTGTTTCAACATACAGATGTCGTGTATATAACGAACCTTGTTTCATGCGTACTGTAATAAGTGAAGGCAATGTACTGAAATTACACCTGACCTGCCATTACCAAGAAGTGAGGACAAAAGTGATGTAGCCATAAATTTCAGTAATGATGATATAGTGTATGTAAAAAAAAAAATCGGTCCCAGTTTTGGGTTCCTAGTGCTATGTATCTATCTATGAATTAGCTAACACAACTCCCTTAACCCATTTTTTCCCAATTTTTTGTTATCTAAAATGAAAACCATCCACTAAATGTAAAAACAAGCTAGTTACGTTCCCCAAGAAAATACGTTTTCGTAAAGTGGTTTATATTCCATAATGGACTTTATGGATGAAATAAAGCCAAACAATAGATACCTTGTTGAATACCCACACTCGCACTCTACGAACATAACTGATATATTAAAGAAAATTGGCTTGAACCGAAAATATATATATATATATGTATTTGTAATAACAGCAGCAAACAAAGAATCTCAACTAAAATCGTGACATAGTGAAAGTTTTATCACCTTTAAACTTGTGTATCAGTATAATGCCTTTGCTATCTCAGAAATTCACAGTGTCAACAAAATTGTAGTTTATGACATCAGACGAGGCCAGCATATAAATGAAGTAAATGCATGAAATAAGATCAAATCTTGAATTTCGTAACACGACAAATCATTGAGGATGAGCATCGTAGTGCCCCCTAGTGACCTCATGTCTACTTGGCCTACTTCCTCTGGCAATCTTTTCAAAGATCATCATCCAACAGGTGGGATACCGGCTATAATTCGTAACTTGGGGGTCGTTGTTTAAGTTAAAAGTGAGCATTTTTGACGTAATAAAAAAGTTTAAAAAGTTGTTGTTGTTTTTCTCCAACTTTTGTAAAAACTACTAAACAATGAATTTCATTTTTAAAGAACAATAATTGTTTGATGATAAGATTTATCTGTGATAGTTTTTGTGGATGAATGAAATTAACGGGAATTATTTAATTATTAGTTTTAAATATATACGAGTATACCATAACAAAAAGTTAATAAGATCACTTAGCATGTTGAGAAAACAAAAGCATGAATTGGCACCTTCGAGCAAACTTTAAGTACAAAATATGAATTAATTCTAAGTACTAGTAGTGGTGTTGAACTACTCATTTATATTTAACTATCATGATACGATATACACGATTTATTCACAACCACTTTCTACAATATCAGTACAATTACTTGAATTATAAAACTGTGGTAAAATAGAACAAGGAAATAGCTTTATAGTCCCTGAAATTTAAGTGCTCGACTGCGTGAATAACGCTCCACATAGATCTTCCTTTTACAGCTGACCTACCTTTTTTCACCTCCGACCTTAAGACCGGTTATAAAACGGTGAACGACACTTCTCTCTCAACAATATCTGCCATCCAGAAGGCGAAAAGTCTTCCACCTGCCGCATGTTTCAGGACCCGTGTAAAGAAGAGAAAACGTAGAATTTACTTTCGAGCTCATAAACTACATGTGAAACTGAGGGACCCTCTATTCTTGATTTATTTTTCAGGTTTTTCCTATGTAACTAAGCCTTTCGAACGAAAATCAAAAATATAGTTCATCGTTTGCTCTTTGGAAAACCATCACGTGATGTAGAAAGAAAGACGAAAGATCTTAGAAAAGAAGATTTGAATCTTTTATCATAGGACATAAATCGACATGGCAAAGGTAAATTTAAAAATCCATGAAGTGAATCTATAGCCTTAAAAGTTTGCAATTATTAATAACTTTTGAAAAAAGCAAGCTACATACATGGAACAGAAGTAAAAACTAACTCAGTATATAATGAGGTATATTTAATATGCCAGACTAATTTGGAGTACATAATGTCGTACAACAAAAACTTAATGACTATTAAAGTACATTGATTCATCAGTTGGCTACACTTTGCTGTTATCGATAAAGTCGGCCATATCCCAAATATATATTATGAAGTTTGTTCGGAGATTTAGAGTAGTGTTAGATTGATATATTAAGCTACAAATGGAAACTAAACTCTTTAATAATCACGCACGTACGTTGACTTTTCATCAGATATTTCTGGATTTTATGCAAACAGCCATGCAATTGTTTAAGCTACATTTCATGCTTCCAGATTTAATCTCATAGCTCCTATTTATTTAAAAATTTCTGGAAGGGGAGGCAATGCCCCCAGACTTTCGCAGCATTAATATGGTTTACATGCTAATTGTGCTTAGCACAATACGTGTTAGCTTTTGATTTCACAAATTAGAACCCCCTCTTTCAAACATTCTGCGTTCGGGCCATATAATATAAATGTATTTCAGTTACTTATAAGATCACAAGCTTTCAGATTAATGTTTTGAATTTCGAATAAAAGAGGGTATTCGTGATAGTTTCAAATAACATGATGACACTTACTGTCCCTGATTATGGAATTTTTTAAACGATTAAAAAACAAAACAAAAAACTTTTTTTTGTAATACATGACAATGTTATTTTGAAATATTGGGTATCTTTATAAAATGAAACGCGTTATTACCAATATTCCGTATCAAGGCAATCTTAATATGGCATTGATATGTTTTTATTGTACAAGATAACCTTAACAATAGTAGGAATTTAGTTGATGATTAACACAGCATTGTTTTAAACATTGCACTCAATATAATTAAATTGTATTGAACAATATTACAATAAATTGTTAAAAACACATAATATC